AGTTTAAGAACTTACTTTTAAATAGTATTAATGTATATAGATATATAATAATTGAAATGTGACTGTATTTTACAAAATACTAGTCTACTAAAACACAGCCAAGAGATGTCACTTTGTAAAGACTAAAGGTCAGTTTTATATTATTGGATATGTGAACATAAGTGCATTTACACCATGTCATTGTAACTTCTGTATTTTTAGCCAGGCATGGCCGAAAGGTCAATATAATATAAATGTATAATGTTATGAGGTATAAGCTATTTAGCCTAAACATTTATGTTTTCGTGTTATAATTTGTAGTCATTCTAGAATGAAAGAGGTATAATTTATATTTATTTCCTAATTATCTAATGTGGCTATGAGATCAGTGAAATTGACCTAATCCGTACAGAGGTTCATTACTTAAAATAACAAATAAAATATAAAGTTTATTTCTTAAGAAACATTTGATAACTATCTAGACATTATAAAGAATTTGCATGTGAAATTGGAATATTTTCTGATGCACAAAAGTATTTTTGATCTTAAAATGAAAATTACTTTGCATGTTGGAGGGGCAACATGCAAAAAAGAAAAAAAAAGGCATGAAAAAAACATTGCTTTACAAACCTCAAGACTTAATAAAAAAAAATTTATATTTTGCGTATGAAAGCATTGTAACGTTTATTGATAACCTGCCAAATTTCGTTAACATACGCTTACTAATTCAAAAGTTATAGCATGAAAACTACAACAAGCACAAAATGGTTATGAAGTTGGTCCCAGATACTGAGCCCATGCTGAAAGAGTTAATCAAATCTGTAACAGACAGCATAATATCCTACTGAAAAATAGCCTTCATTTACTTAAGAGGTTTTCATGCTTCAAGAATATAATGAAGTATTTAATACCTGAACTATATTTTCAGGTAGCATTAAACATGAACTGGATTACCATAAATTACAAGATATAATAAAAAGCCTATAGTGTAAAAATTCTCAAAAGTATATTTTACAAAATTATGAACACTTGCCAAATAGTTGCAACTAAATGAACTGTATATAAAATATGTCTCAAAAGTATTTTTTTTAGTTCTGGTAAACAGAGAAATATACTGCTAAGATTAACTGCATATTAACAGTTCTAATTGACAGATTATCTCCTACTTGAATCTACTAACTGGATTAACCGCATATTAACAGTTCTAATTGACAGATTATCTCCTACTTGAATCTCTTAACTTTTTGCCCTACTCATTACTAAAAACAATTAGTCTAAAATTGTTACTTATTCAATTTCAATGTAAACACTCCTTATTCTTCTATTTCATTTCTTTAAATCCAGCCACGCATTGGTTTTCATACACACCAAATAATGCCAGTGTTGGTTACCATATGTTTCTATTGTCACGAAAAGTCATGCCATTAAGTAAACACAACTTGTCTTCTCTTGTAGGATAATGTATTCTTTTGCTTCAGTCTATGGTGAAAAGCAATATAAAACACTGGTCGCCACAAAAATATTAAGTTTGTAAGGGTTTATTCACACAATACTAGCAGCAAAAACTGACCACAGTGTCCAATAAAAAGATAAAAAGTAAAAGAATTACAATTCTATTGCAGTCTACTTCAGCCCAGTTTGTGTTACATGTAAACTGTACCCTTTTTAGCATGCAACACAAACAAAATATGTTGCCAAATAACTAATGTTGGTATCTTCACAAAAAATAATCATTTCTTGAATGTGCTAGGTTTATGAATGTAATACAGTGTGATACTTGAATAATGATAACAAAGCAAGAAAAAACATTACACGATCAACAATTTTTAAGAAGTTTTTTTTTTTCTTCCACAAAATACTGGGATAAAATAAAGAGTCATTATAATTACACATCGTTAGCCACAAGTAATGGGCAGTGAGTTCATACTTTTACTAGACCCTATTCACACAACACCCTGCTTTGTTAATTTGCCCCCAAAGAGAGAAGCGAAATTAGGGTGATGGTAATAACTTCATTATAAACATAGAAATTACAGTGTCCTAAACTGATCAAGTAACAGCATCTTTCAAAGTTCTTTTCATTATTAAAATAATTTTCAATTCGTCTCTTTCCTTCCTAATCCATTTACGTTTTATATCAACTAGATCTCCCTAAAAGTCAACAAATATTAAAAATACTTAAGAAATATAATACAAATCTCCAATACTTTCACACAAAAATGATAAAACTGATTAAATTTTCAAACACAAATCATTAATACTTCAGTCTGACAAAGTAAAGACCACACATTGTAAAAGTTGCAGGAAGATAATCACATATTTAACATCTAAAAAATCAGCTAGTCCAACTTTACTTAAAGCCCAGACAAGCATGGAAACCATAAATTTGGTTCTGCTAAGTTAGTACCTAGCACAAGCTGGGTATAGCAAAAAAGGAATACTTGTTCAAACCTAAGAAAAGCAGCCCATGTTAATACCCTAGAATAACAAACTATAAAGCTGCCCACATAACAGTCCCCCTTTTTTTAAATACTTAACACTACAGCAAGAGGTTTAATAAGAAATGAAAATAAATTCTACTTAAAACAAAAAGAGCAACAATGTAAACAGAGGTACAACAAAACCACAACTATATACTATAAAAACCCAATATACAGGTACTATGATAACCATCTGCTTTATAAACGACTATAAAATGGCTGGCTATTATGCTTACCTTTAGATATTTTAAACATTTAACAACATTAAAAATTGCTTTTCACAGGCAATGTATAAAAATTGTAATTGCATTTAAAGCATATGCCATCAGTGAAAAACAAAACAAGCTACTGTTATTCAACTTTATGGATCAACAGAGAAAATATTAAAGCCCACAGACACCCAAGCAACACCCCCCTCTCCCCCAAACCAACTTTCTTTCTCCAATTTGCTGTGCAGATTTTGTAAAGGTGCTGCCTACTCTCAAATAACATAGTTATAAATTTATTTAAAAAAGTACTTAATGATGTCCATAATACTGCTATTCAGCACAGCAGCATCGTAAATACTAATTTTCAATTTTATTCATGGCAACAGAAGCATATACATCCAGCAGTATAACACAGAGGTGGAAGGTTTCAAAGGACAACAAGACTGGAAGGCTTACACCTGTTGAGTAAAAGGCAAAAGAACAAATAGATAGGTAAATATATATATACACACATAAATAATTACCATGTATTTTAAAGAAAAGTTGTAACTGACTACACATAATCTGTCTCTTTTTACTTTAAAATTTATTATAGAAATTGTCTGTCCAAATACACGTGGTCTAAATAGTTTACATAATAACATTCAAATTAGTCAGAAAAATTTCATTATGAATATGACTATTCCTTTAAAAATACCTATCTATACAATAATATATTTCATCATTATTGGAACTGGAGTTTCGAATGCCATATTATTATAAACAAATTCAGAACTAGCTGAAACAATGTGGAAGAAGTAAAACTCACTACAATAAAGCTATTCTAATAATACCAAAAATTACCATTTACTGTTTGTATCATTGTCATATTAACCCACTGACTGCTGGTTCACTCTATAGGGTTGAATGGTGTACGGTTTGCAAAAATTCTGCTCGCGTTTAGAGCAGCTGCAGTCAATGGGTTAAAATTAAGTTTTCATAAAATAATAAGGCTCATTTATCTAGAGAGATACTATATAAGCTAAACAGGGTGATTGCAATAAAATTGCCTAAGTGGATACACTTTTACTGATGTGTGTATTTTTATGTAAACAAGAGATACTAGAGGGAAAACATCCTTAGTTATAGGATATTCAGATATTAACTCATCAGAATACTAAAGCAATTAATCCATAACAATTCCATTTTTACCAAAATACTTTGAGCTTACAAAAGAAAAGAAAAAAAAGAGCAATATGGGAATTAAAAGTTATCGGTCACAAAACTTAATATTGCATGGCAAAGAGGTCACCAATTACTGTCCAACTAGAATTAGTGCAAGGATAATGTTTTCTTATGAGCCTTCCCCCCGTTTTATATTGAAAAAGTTTCTTGAAACACAAAGTAAAAATGGAAAAATAAAAACTACAGAGTAATAGTAGAAATTATTAAATTTTTTTATGTGGATCTATAAGCACCAGACAATTATTATTCAATTCATAACTGTAAAAGCCTTAAAAATGCTTGGAAGATCCAAGAGTGTAACAAATATGTAAACAATCTCACCAAAATGTTTGAATTTTAGCTTTAACAAGCTACAACAGTGAAGTTTAAGGTCAGACAGATTGTAGATTATCTATACGTGGTTCAAAAACTAATTCTCTTTTTCACGTTCATTATTTTCAGATGTTTGTAAAGAATACTGTTTAATCTTTATCACACTCAGTGACAAAGTAGTTTACTTTTTTTTTTAATTATAATAAATAATTAAAAACAACGTTTTATATTTACACAATTAAAACTTTATTGAAGCCGTAAGGCTTCCACTTTAAAATAGAAATATCACTGTACAAATATATATATAAATATAAAAAACTAAAACAAGTATTAAATAGAGATGAAGGACCAGCAAGTCAATACATTGATATATGGCGAGATACATTATAATTTTTTTTTTCAATTACACTAAGGAAATATGCAAATAACAATGAAGTAATGCGACAAGGGGGAAAGTATAAAAGTCTTGTAAGTTACTCCTGAGGATGACGTAGATCACGTCAAAACATGTAAGTGTACATTAAAATTTTATTTTAATGCGGAAGCCGTACAGCTTCAATAGTTTTAATTGTGTAAATATAAAATGTTGTTTTTAATTATTTATTATAATTTTAAAAATTTTAAACACAAGTGCCGGTTATGCATATTTAAAGTAGTTTACAATAAGAAGGATTAAAATGTCAAGTTTAGAGTCAATTAATTGGATATAAGAAACTAATAAAACATTATGCAACAATTTACAAAACCTATAAGGAATTCATATAACATTCACTTAAATCTCAGCTACTTATTTTTGATTTATGATAGAATAATTCTATACTTACCAAAATCCTATGTCTATGCAGTGGACTTTTCTTTATCTTCTTTTTCTTTCTTGTGTTTTTTCTTTTTCAAAAACGATGGAGTTCTCAGGCCTTTTTTCTTTTTCTTTTCTTTTTTCATGGATCCTTCACTAATGTCCTTGGCAAGAGATCCCTACAGCATCAAATATAAGTAATACATAGATGTGAATAAAACACAAAGACAGAAGAATTTATATATAAATTACACATTTACTTATATGAAATGCACACATTGACTAATACGTTACTGATGCCATAAAACAGTCAACCAAAGACTAGAATGTGTTAAGTAGACAAACAGTCACCAGTATCAAATGTCTCTGTACCCCATGTAATTTGGAACATGCAATTTTTACTCCGAGCTCAGTAAACTGAAACTTATTTTGGATCTTATTATTTTATAATTTTAATTTAATAATAGTCCTAAGATTAAATAAATATTGAGTTTTATTTTTGTTTTCTTCCCTAAAATTGAAATAAAATTACATTGGACAATGTACGGAAAATTTCTACTTGATGTAGCCCACAAATTACTATTAAACCAAACATTTACATGCTGGTGATTTTTTAACCCTTTTGCAACAGGTGCCCCTTTATACGCTTTTTTGCACGACTCACTGTGTTAAATTCAAAATTTAATTAAACACCTTTACTATAAATGTATGTGAATGAAATTAACTTTATAATGTATGATATGATTCAGTTTTATTTTATCTAAGTTTTAAGTCCTTTATTTTAAAAGAAACCTTTAAAAAACTACTTAAAACGCATTTTCAAGTGACCAACGAGCTTTGAATATTTTCTACTTTGGCACTCTGTACCTTCAGTAATACAATGACAGTACTGTAGATGTATGTCTAGACCATACGATGCTTACATAACTTTTTGTAAACATTTCAAAGTTCCCTGAATGAATGCAGTTGAAAAGTAATAAATGTTTTCAATCCCTAACAGGTGCCATGCCCATCTTCAACAGATTTGTTTGAGCTTTATAGCATACATCTAGATGTTACATACTCATGTGTGTAGTCATTAGAAAGAGCTCATTTTACATTATAATCTAACAAGTTATTTTGAAATTGGCATGCAGTTGTTGTCACAGAGTACATGTAACTGACTGTAGTATTGTTGGCTGCTTGATTAACTATAGCACTTATGGTTGTTTCTTACCTACATATGTTATACTTAGAGATAACAGTTTAAATTGTATTGAAGTGTTACTATTATATTTTAGTTAATTATGTGTTAGTTATGTTTTAAAATGGATAAACATTTTTTAAATATACATCATATTCTGTGTCAGTTCCCAAGGCTTACGACATTAAACGGTGCATGAAAATTTTGTCGAAGGATTGTGCATGTCTATTAGACACTGTAATATCCTTGAGGGCAAGTTGACTTGTAAGTGGTAAAGGACAAGAAAGGAAAATAAAACATTAAAAATTAACTATATATGTAAAAAGGAAAATACATGAAATTACAAATTTAACAAAAAGAAAATTTTTTAATTTTAATTATCCTTTGCATTATACATTGATAATAATAGCTAGAGTTAGTGACATAGTAAAGAAAATGAAAAATAAAATATAAACATTTAATTTACAAAAACTTTGGATATCCTTTTAGGAGGTTCTAGAGATTATGCAAATGAAATATGAAACTAAGATGAATTATTCTTATACTTAAAATAAAAATAATTTATTAACAATTTGAGTGCATGTTACCACAACAGATAAATAACATATTTTTAGTAAAAACACTTAATTATAATAATGTCATTCTTTATTTATAATTTATTTATTTATTTATAATCTTTAACAAAATCTTACCAGTTTTTTGAAAGGATATGTTAGGAAATCTCAGAGTTACTGTATGTATTGTCGTACAAATAAAATTTGCAACTCGATTTCCACAAATTACACGAGTCTGATGGGAAAGGGTTAATCCCCTAACTACGGGTCTTCCTATGGTCGAGGTCAAAGGGCATGTCATTGCATTTGTAGACTTACATGTAAAGATTTATTGAACTACTATTTTATGAATGTATGTCAATAAGTTTGGTATCAAACTGAAAATTATAATTCAAATTTTAGTATTATACATTAGTTAATTTCTTAATTATAAGTAAATATAAAAAAAAAATCCTAAATATCAATTTTTTGTGTCACGTGGTATGTTGAATGCAGCATTCATTCAAATTAGATGTTTGTGATGTCCAAATACAAATCTGTAGTTTCTTACAAATTGGATACTCAAATTACCGATATTAACAAACTAGAACATAAAATAAGAACCTCTTTTCTATTTTCTGAGATATAAATATATTTATTAAATCAACCATGGTGGCCCTGACTACCTCTTCAATTTTTGAAAAATACTTGCTCACGTACACCTACTTCGCCCAATGACGTGATATAACCAATCAAAAGCTCATAATGTCCCCCCTAGTGGCTTTCTCAGCCTTTGCAAAGTATTTTTGCAGCAAACTATTTCTTTTCGTGCTAGATTCCAAGTGACAAGGTAAGACATTAGTGAGCTCAAAATTTCATATTTTTTTAGATCCAAATACAGTTTAGTTACTAAGCTGGATAAATTATAGTGGAATTCTGTTGTATTGATATAGTAATTTATGATTTTTGGATATTTAAAAATGTATATATGAACCCTAAAAAAATTATTTCGTTTCACATCCTCCACAATGCAAAGTTTGACAAGGCTTAGCAATCTACAGCAAGCAGCAAACGAGTTTAAAATTCATAACTAGAAGAGATAATTGTTTGCTTTACTTCTTTATTTACTGTTCTATGTTTTAAGAAAAATAAGTTTAAGACCTTATTTTTAAATAGCAATAATCTATATACATATATATATAATTGTTTGCTTTACTTCTTTATTTACTGTAATTACAAGTAGAAATTACAAAAAC